ATATGCATGTTTGGGTTACCCCCGATGGTTTTTGACATCCACACCCATATCACATTCAGAGAACAACCTTGGTGGTTCCCAGCCATCCGGCTCCTTAGGTTTTGAGCATTTTAGGGTTCAGTGGTAGTTTAAACCACTAAACCACTAACATTTATTTTGTTAGCAGGGGATTTGGGAACAGCCCAGCAATCTATTTCCCAAGGATCAAACATTGGCACCATGGAACCAAGCCTCAGAAATGCTTTATGGTCCCCTGGCGGTTTTGAAGGGAATTGATCACTGCCTGTCTCCATGACCCTGTAAAAATAGGTCCATGACCAACCATTATTTAGGGTAATGACCAGAGACTCACCGCCGGCAGTTTTCTCCCGAGAAGGACAAAAAAACCCAAAGAAACACGCCCTCAGCATAGTTGTTGTTGGGAAACATTCTTCCCATTTTTGCTTCTTGTGGTTTAGTGGTATTTCTTGCTCCTCTTCCAAACCCAACCTCAACCAACCTCCAGGCGCCGCTTTCGGAGGGCGTGGCCGGCATGTGCAGCTGGGGCCCTCGGACGAGGAAGTTCGCGCGGAGCGAAGGAGTTCGCTCGCTTCGGCCTCAAAGACGCTCAGCGGCGGCTCAGCGGTTATGTTGAGCCAGGACAAATAGTGCGAATCTAAGCGCCGCAAACACAAATACCGTCACACACACACACACGCGAAAAACAATTAACAAACACAAGCTCGAAGAATTATCAGCATAATCCCACTAGGGGGTGTTCCCTCCAACGTGGTCTGAATCCCCACTAAAAGGGGACACCCCCCAATCAAAATCAACCAGGGGTTTATTAATCCGGGGTTAACATTAAGGCAGGCAAGTGATGTTCTCGGATGGGAAATGTTCACTCCCCAGATTGTGGGTCCAAAAAAGGTTGTGCCCCAAATAGAAGCCTGGCGAATGGAACCAGGGGCTAAAACCTGCGGTCCCCTGGTGGTTAAACTTTGACCCATACCCATATGTTTTCACTCCCCATACTGTGGATGGACGGAATCCATTTCGCACCACCTACGAAAAAAAAAAAAAAAAAGGAACAACAAAAAACAAGAAAAAGCAAGATCATATGACGATTCCCTTGTAAATACCCACCAACTCGATCCCATGGTTTCAAAGTGCAGAGTTTCGTCCATGAGTGTTTGGTAGCTGGAAGGCACCGGAGCTTTGAGCCATCAACCTTTGCAATTGGTCCCAACCTTTGCAATTGGTGCCCGACCTCTCACCGTTTCTTTTCTGGGGAAGGGAGGGTTTTTAAACCCCACTAGAATAGACGACTGAAAAAAGAAGCGGTACCCTTATTCTAAGCCTTCTACTGGAGGACCTAGTATACTGTGGATCAACCATGTCACCTAAGGTTCTTGCCCAGGGCAAGGCGCCTCTAAACCGAGGGGCCCCAGATGTGATGTTTCAACCGACCGACTCCAAGTGGATCCCCCGTTTGTATTGAAAGGGACACTCACTTGCTGAGTGGAGGGCCAAAAAAAAAGTCCAAACTTTATATTTACCACTAAAATGGTCTTCCCAAAAAGTGTAAAGTTCATGAACTCAGGAAGCGACACCAAAAGGACACCCTGGCGACGACTAGCTTAAGAAGCACGAGTTTGGAACGGGGATCGGGGATGAAGGCAGCCTTGTGAGGTTGACAACTTCACCAGCAACCTTCGAACATGCCGGGTTTACCCTCATGGATGCTGTTTCAGCGGGAGTCTGACAGTTTGCTTCATGCGGATGGACGAAATCCATTTCGCACCACGTTGAGGCCATGGGAAACCATTGTTCGTTGGTATTTACGGGGGAATCATCATTCTAGGGTTTCTTGGGTGGTGCAGGATTTCTTCCATCCAGAGTATTAGGGCCACGGTCACTATTCCCTATCATGTACCATCAGGACGGGGTGACCAACTTCTCTGTCAGTCGGGGTAGTGGGAACAGGATTCATACGCCGGTTTCTGTATATGGGGATGTCCCAAAGACGGGCTCCTAAAGTGGAACCCTGGTAAATGGACTCAAGGACTAAAACCTGCGTTGTGGTGGTTTAATTTTGCCCCATACCCATTTCGAGGGCAGCATTGACTTTCACTTTGGTGCATTTTGCTTAGATGTTAGGACTTTAACTTTTTGGCCAACTAATGGGTTTTCCGTATTAAACCACTAAAAGTTAGTCACTTTTAGCAGGGCTTCGCAGAAAGCAACCAAGTTCAAGAAATATCGCGGTGTGGTTCCTTGATTTGATGGTGGTTTGAACCACGGAACTTGATTTAATGGTGGTTTGAACCCCGGAAAAAGTAAAACCTGAATTTTGGAGGGGCCAATGGGGGCTATTTCAAGAGTCATATAGCTTCTCCACGGCTGCGTCGCCCCAGGCCGATGTCCCGTGCTGAACATGCAGGCGAGTGGTGGGACGTGCGAGTCTTCTCACACCATGGATTTTGCCTAGTTAGGCTCATGGGTCATGTGGACCACATATTAATAAACCCCTACCTATTAATAGGGGGGTGTCCCTGGGTTTAGTGGGGACTTCTCACATTTGCAGGGGAACACCCCCCCCTGTGAATAAAAAGGGGTGTTGATTAATCTGGGGTCAACATTACGCGTCAATGTTGGGTGACCCCGAACACGGCGACTTTCCTTTTGGTGTCCCTTCAATCTGAAAAGGGTACCCTCGAGAAAAGGGTCACATTGTAATGAATGCAAATATACCTTCACCTGTAAACAGAATTTATACACAGTATTTGGGTATTGAAGTAAAGATGAACACATGTACACACGTTTGCACATTAAGCAACAGTATGTCGTGTTTGTCTTGCGATTACAGTGTGTATACACGTAGCATCAAACCGGTTTGGACGCGTTTTTGGCGGATGTCGCCAGTTCTTCCCCCTGCAGGTTCTTTTTTAGTACTCTTTTGGTACTCTTGTATACAGGGCTGGATCCACAAACCATGGTTGTCGTTGGGAGACATTTTACATTTTTGCTTATTGTTGTTTAGTGGGAAATCCCCACTTAACTGCTAAAATTTAAATGTTTGCTCCCCTTCCAACGTCAACCAAGTAGTTGGGAATGCGTCAGAATTCGCCTCCAAAAGCCGGGAATGCAGTATGTTCACCAACATGTCAATGTGAATTGCCAGGGTGGTTCTGCCAACCCGAAAGAGGCACAGGGGTGGATCCATCTCCAACAGTCATGAAAGCTAACATGAGGGTTTTGGCAAACTACTTTCCATTTAAGCACCACCATCATGGGAGCTAACATGAGGGTTTTGCCACTTTCCTTTTCAGCACCCCCCGTCCAACCATGGAAAAGACCGAGTCGACTTTCACGAGCCAACACCCGACAGCCCGCCGGCCGGAGGTGCGCGCTCTCTCGCAGTCCCTTGCAGGGCTCGGGGCGAAAGCCTTCAATTGGCCCAGACCTTGGGCATTTTTTTGTGGTTTTCTCTTTTTTCGCAATTGGCCCAGACCTCGGGCGTTTTTTTTTTGTTTCTCCGCCGGTTTTCCACCTGTCGGAGCGGTGGTTTTTCCAGTCCGAGATCAACTTGGGTTTTTCGAGGTGGTGAGTCTCTGAGTGTGGGGGGGTTGTTCCCAGGCATCCAGCTTGTGAGGTTTGTCTTGAGACTTTTTAGCTCGTTTTGTTTCTGCTTCAGTGGTTGGGTTTCCGTATTTAACACCAAAGTTTTTTGTTTTTTGTTAAAAAAGATGCAGGGAATTTAAGGACAGACCGGTTTTGGGGAGAAGAGTGTTTCTTGTGAAGATTGGGTATGGCTCAAATTTCTGCACAGCTGGGGCAAACCGTAGTTTTGAGTCTTTTCCGTATACCAAGGGGCCACTTAAGGTACCATTTTTTTTGAGCAGCCACTTGTTTACACTTGCTCAGAGATCCCCATTGCATGGTTCAGAGACATGGGCAGAGCCATTGCAACCTAGTGACTAGTGGCCTGTTATAAGGAAAGGGTCACCATTTCTCCATTGTGGCTTTGAATCATTGGATTTGGACCTTTTGTTCAACACTTGCGGCTACAGTTTGCAAAGGGCCGCACCAGCGGCCGGCCGAAAGTGTGCTCCTAGAGTCTCCATGACCCTTTAAAAACGGGGTCATGACCCTAAATAATGTGGTCATGGACCTATTTTTAAAGGGTCATGGAGACTCTAGGCTGACACAGCGCGCCAAAGCTGTTTTTTAGCAAAGGGACATCGGACAGGATGTGCTTCTTCCACGGCTAGGCAACGCCCAAGAGTTGAGTCCTCGAATGAGCGAAGCCATCTGGGTATGGGTCAAAGTTAAACCACCAGGGAACCGCAGGTTTCACCGCTTCCCAGGGTTCCATTTTGGGAAACTATTTTTGACCCACAGCCATCTGAGCTTAGAACTCTCCTACGCGCGAACGGGATTTCTTCATGCGGAAAAAAGAAAAAAGGTTTCGGTTTCGGGGCCTAAAAGGCCACTTGTGACAGCAAGGAAGCCACAAGAAAAGCGATACTGTGCATGGACGAAATCCATTTCGCACCACCCAAGAATCCCTGGAATGTACCAACAAACAATGATTTCTCCGGGTTTCCAAGTGGTGCGGGATTTCGTCCATCCACAGTATAGTGGTGGGAATCAAACACTTCACTTGCTGGCGCTTAGTAGGGAATGACCCTTCAGAAGGTGTTGGTTGAAGGAACCGTGTGGGGATTCCGGAAACCAAATCGAGTACATGTTTTCTTGGTGGCTCCCAGCCATTCCCTTAGCCTTTTAACTTTTCAGTGTTTAGTGGTAGTTTCCATTTAACCCACAAAAAAGGGTGGCGGGTTGCACATGTGGGAATGTGCCGCAAGTCTCGTGTCCCTGTTTCGGGTGGGTCCTAATGTTCTGAACTCTGGGCCTGCAATGTGAATAGCACTTGGGCAGAGCTGCACTCAATTCAGAGGCCAAACCGGCTTCTTGTTCGCCTGCCAATGGACAGGCCGGCAAGCTAACCGGGCAGCATGGAGGTCGCTAAAAGTGAAACTTTTAGCGAGGGATCAGAAAACGGGCAGCCCGGTTTTGTGTTTGTTCCTCGGGCCCCCTCCATGTTTTGCCACGGGAGGTTTGCTTGGAGAAGGGTGGTCTGAAGCAGCGGCCATTTGAGAGGACGCCATGGAAACCTAAAGGAAAATCAACATGTCACCAACACAAACATGTTTAAGCAAAATAAATCCAAATGAAGCAACACTCAACCACTAAGCATCTACTAAAAGAAGACCCGACCACGAAACCAACGCACAGCCCTTTCTTCCGTTTTCTTTTTTCCCCATGATTTTCTTCCCGGGGCTCTGGTCTCCGGGGAAAAACAAAAAATCGCGCGTTGCTCTGAGGTCTTCGGGGCTGAGCAAGCTGCAGAGGAGAGACCTGGCGGAGGTGGTCTTGGAGTACTGCAGGACTCGTGGGATGGTACTGTGGCACCACTTGGAAACCAGGGCAAATGGTTGGTATTTACATGGGAAGCATCATTCCAGGGTTTCTTAGGTGGTGCAGGATTTCGTCCATCCACAGTACCGCTTGCGCAAGTCGGTTCGGTCCCGGGGAAATCGTCCGGTTCCAGAGAGGTATTTAGATGCAGGCAGGGGATAGTGGTTGGCTTTCCGTATCTAACCCACCAAAGAAAGGTTAAGCCTGTAGCAGGGGCTCTGAGACCAGCCCAGTTCTGTCACTTGGATTTGTGGTTTGAATTTTAATTTGGCCCCCTTGTGAAAGGTCAATGGGGTGGCTCGTCTCTGTGGAGTTGGTACCCCCTTTTTAGTGGCAGCGTTTTCCCGGTTTGGTTCCCTGGCCGGTGTCGGTTGTGCTTGGGGCTCGTGAAAAATGTGCGGGGATCTTCATGAGGCTGGGGGATCCCGAAGTAGAACTCATAGCCATCTGGCCGTGGTTGTCAAAACCGTTCTGGGAGCCCATTTTGGTTGGTAGGTGAATTCACCACCCATTTTAGAACCTATTTTTGCGGGGATTGGGGTTTTGACCCATGGCCATCTGATATCTTTGCCTTTGAAACGATGGTAGGAAAGGATGAAATTGCGCTGGACACTTTCTGGTTGGTCTCCTTGCGGTCTCCACTCAGGGAGATGCCGAGTGCTCCGTGTTTCCTTTTGTTGGAGTGTCCCTTTAAAATTCTACCAGAAAAGAGTGGCCTTTTTCTTGCACCACTGGGGGTCTGAGGTTGATCCCAAACCGAACCATTCCGGCTTAATGGCTCTTTCATATGACTTTCAAGGGAATTCGGGGACCCAAACCGTGGATTTTCCTTTTGGTTTTCCTTACCCAGGTAAGTTCTGGGTACCGCGCAAATTGAATACGGAAACAATATAAACCTCGATGTACTGGAGGTTGGATCACCTGCAAAATGTTGGTGCGGATTTTTTTTGTTGAGTACCCCTTTTGGATTGGTTTACCGGGTCAACATGCCAGTTTGCTTTAGTTCCCTCGTGAGACACCCCCCCCAAATCGAGACTCCGCCCTCTTGCGATCATTCCAGGCCCTGCGCTCATTTGGACTCCACGCTGGAGGCGAGAAATGATTCGTCGTTGGACGTCTTCCCAATGGATCGATCCCCGTTTCGCCACTCGGATGTTCAACCCACTTAGCAACTTGGGCGGTATGACCATTGTTATAAGGAAACCAACTCCAATCAAATATAGCTTGTGATTACAGTCTACTCACTAAGTGGGTTGAATATGCGAGTATGGCGGATCGAAGACAAACCATATATCCTAGGCGTTTCGCCACTAGTTACAGAGACGTGACCGGATTGAAGTTGCCGACTACATTAGATAACCCTTCGCCATTGTTCCTTTCGGTTTTTGAACGTAATCTGTTGCTTCGTAGCTAGGTCCCCCAGTATGTGCCCTTTTGGCCCTTTTTTTAGGGGAGGGCTCCACGACTAAAGTAGACTACAGAAAAAAAGGGTACCCTTATTCTAACCTCTCTACTGGAAGACCTAGTCGAAATCAGCAACCATTTACAACAATTGCTAGAACCTACTGACTCAAACAGAAAGGGAGGAAGACCAAGGCCAAGTGAGAACCATCAACTAGCGGGCGTCTTTTCGCTTAAGAATATCTATTATTTTCCGTGAATCCATATTGGATGTTTTTATTTGGTTTCCAGGAACCTTAAGCGCAGACATGGAGGAGCGTAGGTGTCCTTTTCAGGTTGGCTCGGTTAAACATAGATGGCACGGGGGCGGAGGTCCGGGGTCTAAGGTCTAAGGCCTTGCTTGCTCACTTGCTGCGCTGAGTGCGCGCTGGACTCGATGGCTTTCGCTTTCCTGTTGAATCGTCCAGCGCAATCCATCTCTTTGCCAGGAAGGACTACTGTGGATGGACAAAATCCATTCTGCACCACCCAAGAAACCCTGGAATGATTCGATTCCCCTGTAAATACCAACAAACGTTTTGGTTTCTCACGGTTTCAAATTGGTGCGAAATGGATTTCGCCCATCCGCAGTATGGTGCATTTTGCCAACTAATGGGTTTTCCGTATGAAACCACTAAAAGATAAGCTTTTAGCAGGGGAGCAGAAAGCAACGGAGGGTTGATGGCATGTGTTCTTTGGTTCTGTTCATGTTTTTTTGGCAGGGCGCCGCAAAAAGCAACGTTGTTTTTTTGCTACCATGCCAAGGGTTGGACAGTTAAATCATGTCTTCCTGTGGCTACACTGGACAGTATGGCGTGAGGCTCAGTGTCTGATCCAAGTCGTCCGCAGGGCCTCTGCAGCGACCTGGAGCAGATCCAGTGGTCCGAGGCCGCAGTTCCCCTCGGACGGGGCACAGGAATTTGTTTTGTCCTCCCACGAATTCGCGTGGCTAGGTCCCCCGGTGGCTTCTTCAAAGATACATTGTCTTGCCCATTTGCAAGGCTTTTTCAACACCAAAACTAAGGGACACCACCATTTACGAAGCAATGTTCAGGTGTATAATGTAAAGATCCCAGTAGTGCCCTTTTTACCGGAGGGTTCCCCTACTAAAATAGACTACAGAAAAAAGTTGGTGACCTTATTCTAACCTCTCTACTGGAGGACCTAGATGGAACCTGACGGAGGGTCCCTTTAAAAGGTACCTGGAGTCTCCGTGACCCGAAATAAAATTAGGTCCATGACCCCATTATTTAGGGTGATGACCCCATTTTTTAAGGGTCATGGAGAATCTAGGTAAATCGCGAATCAGCATGGCTAGTTCCCCAGTAGTGCCCTTTTACCTGAGGGTTCCGCTGCTAAAATAGACTACAGAGAAGAGTTGGTAACCTTATTCTAGCGAGGACCTAGATGGCTGTTTATTGGTAAGGTTAAATACGGGGTTGATCAGAAGGGGCTTATCCTCCACTGTGATACGGGAATCTCCCCCTTTATATGGGTTACATACGGTGGATGGCATTGTAGCAACTTGCATTTCCCGAAGGCCATGTTTGTGGGTATGCTTCTTCGGCCGGGTTGTGGTTGATCACTCGGGGTTTATCCCCTCCACTCTTGTGATCAGAGTTGGGATCTCTCCCTTTTTACGCTTTTTATGGGGGGGTTTAGTCTTTGGGAAGCCCTTGTTGTTGTACAGAAGTGGTCAGTTCCCCGCAGCCTTGAATACGGTGGATGGTTAGCGTTTGTTGGTATTTACATTGGGGAATCGAATCAGGGTTTCTGAACAAGTATCAATCGATTGTTTCCTTTGGCCCCCAAAAAAGAAGAAGGACAGCAAAAAGAGGTCCGAAATACCACATTGAGACACCCCCCATATGAGTCAAAATCCTCAAAGAATCCTATCTTAATTACATTGTGTTTCCTATCTTTCCAAGTTCTAGAGGTAAATGATTGTATGCTTTTCTGGATTCTTCTTTCTCTGTCTTGTTTGTTTACCTTCGTCCACCTTAGGTACCCATTCCTCACTGCAAAGAATCTGGAGTTGAGGATAGAAAATGAAAGAGAATCCATCCATCTTTACCTTGTGACCTCCTCCAACCAATTATCTTAAAGTGGAGGAGGGTGTGAGGTGATTGTTGGCGAGATTCCCTCATTGGCAGTTAATAATTAAAAAGTTCCAGAATGAAGATTCAGAAGTTAATTCGCTTTCCTGTTGACTATGCTTCCAGAAATTAGTTGTCGGCATTTTTCTTTTATTTGCAATTTAATGCTTTTTGGATGAGATGTAGAAAGGATGAAATAATGATCAGTTTTCCACAGCTTTTACTTCATGTTTCCATCTACCAGGGTTCCATTCTGGGTATCTATTTTTGACCCACAGCCATATAGAGCAGAACCTGAACAGGGCCGAGGTTTCGTCCTTTTCTTGGGATGTGTGGCTTTTGTCTTTGTGGATCGGGGGAATGGCTCCATGCCATGACCGGCAAGCATAGAGCTACAAGATGTTTCAGTGTCTCCTGAAGCAGATGAAGTCAATTGGCAGTGGTTGTCAAAACCGGTTTGATCCCATTTTGGTTGGTAGGTGAATTCACCACCCATTTTAGAACGAACCTACTTTAGTGTTTGGATTGGGATGTTCACTTGGGGTACGATTTGGATTTTGACCCATGGCCAATTTGTGATATTGACAGGGTGGTAGCCGACCTTTCAGACATTGGGACGTGAAACGCATGTCGTTGTTGGTTGGCGTTTCGGTCATCTTGGTTCCTCGTTGGCCGGGGATCGGCACAACCGGTGGACACAGCTGTTTCTGCCCTGGAATAAACCGCCTTTGCGGGTATTTTTGAAGGCACAATGTCAACCCCGGAGGAATAAGCCCATCCTATTCTACGGGGAGAGTTCCCTCCAAAAGTGATCTGAATCCCCACTAAAAAGGAACACCCCCCAATCAAAATCAACCAGGAGCTTATGAATCTGGGGTCAACATGACAGGCCAGGAAAGGAATTGGAGGGGGGGAACGGTTTGGAGTGCAGTTCTCGGCCCCCGAGATTTGGTGGACTTAGACGATTGCAGCTCTCAAACGCGTCCCCCAAACCCCAAAGAAGTATGACAGTCTAGGGCTTATGTTACTTTTCACCCAACAACATGGCTTTTCCTGGGGTATCACATGGTTGTCGTTGGGAGACATTTTACATATTTGCTTATTGTCGTTTAGTGGTTGAACTCCAACCACTTAACTGCTATTTGTTTTTATTTTTTGCTCCCCTTCCAACGTCAACCAAGTTCCTGGGGTATCAGAATCAGGGGTTCTCCTTGGCGTCGTAGGGGTGTGGTGATACTGTTGATGGGCAAAATCCTGCACTGGGATAAACCATATAGCAACTGGTGCAGGATTTTGTCCATCAACAGTAGAACCTTCTTGGGGTATCAGAATCAGGGGTTCTCCTTGGGCTACTGGTACGTTCCAGGGGTCTGGTGATAGAGCCTTTGATCAGGAGGTCTGGTTGGACTCCTCTCACCTTTGGCCAAGCCAACGGAAGCCCAGAGAGCTCTGATCGAACTGGGTTCCATGGTTCGTTCCATTTTTGGGCTGGAGAAACCAGGCATCCGGGTCCAGAAAGGCGTTTAGATGCTGGAGAGGGGGAGAAAGGGCGTAGTAGTTCCCACTACATCACTAAAAGTTAAAGACTTTAGCAGGGGATCTAAGGACGGCCTTTTTCCATGTTTGGGAAAAATGGGAAACAGGGCAATTGTGGATAGGAAGGACGGGGGTGCATTATTTTCGCTTTGGGGTTAGGGTTTTGTGATGGCCAATTAAGCACCAAGCCCGGGGATAGCCTCCCTCCAACATGAGTTAGTAGCAGTGCTCTCAAAAAAGGCACACCCATATTGGAAGCTTATCCACTTGCGTAAAGCCCAAACAAACCAGATTGGACTCGCCTTTTTAGGATCCAAGCCCTCCCCAACCCCTCCCGCTCCCCCTTCCCCCAATGACCTGGGTGTGTGCAAAAGAGGAGAACCCCACCCCCCCCTCAATTGAAAAAAAAACAAGGTGCTTCCCTAAAACAAGAAACAAGGTGCTTTCCTTTTGGTTCGCTTTGAACTAATCTGCAAGGATACGGTTGATTCCCAACATGGCAAATGAACTAAGCCCACTCAACCCCAATACCACGGTACACTGCCAGGAAGATCAATTTCCTATTGAAGGGGCCGGGTGTCTTTCAGGTGTAGCGTGGAGGGTAGGGGGTTCCTTGTTCCCTTACCCTCTTGGCAACAATCGTGGGAGTGGACAACCCCCTGCCCGAAAAGGACAGTAGTCTGCCAAAACCCTCCTGTTAGCTTCCAAATTGTTGGACGGGGGGTGCTTAAAAGGAAAGTCGTCTGCCAAAACCCTCATCTTAGCTCCCAAGATTGGAGAAGCATGCTCACATAAGCTACTCAATTTCGCACCTTCCATGAAGGAGACAAGCCTTTTTTGGGTTATACAGACCTGTCATGCATTTTTGTTGTTTGGGGTCGAGGATGGTGTTTTAACCGCATCCGCACTCCCAGCAACACATCCGACCCCCTCGCCGACTGGCTGGGCCTTGCCGCTGGGCAGGTGGCAGCTTTGGCGTCGCTGGGCCGAGAGGCTCCGCCGCCCTCCTGGCTGCCGAACAGGGAGGCGCGAGGGCCAGGTACTTCCATGGCTCGGTTGAGGGACCCGCTTTGGGCCCAAAGGGGGTTGGGTTGAAAGGAGAACCAGGAGGAAAACCACCCATGTTCTCTTAGAGGATTTTTGGGCTGGTGTAAAGGGAAACCAAAAGGGCGACCAACTTTTTGGGGGGCAAAACCAAGTTTTGACATATCGCCAAATACTGCAACTTCCAACATGCAAGGCGTGTTCCATTTGTAGCGCACATCCAACATGGAATACCCTAGACGTTCCACTGCCATTTCAACGGGACACGGGCAGAGGGGGTCGGGGAGCAAGGGACATACATGTTGCAGAGGTCTATGTTCATTGGTGTGGCGGACGAGATTGGGGGGGGGGGGGGGCGGTTGTCACAAGGTTCGATCGGGGCCAAACCTATTTTGGCGCATGGCAGGGGTTGCAGCACGTGACAACTCGCTACATACTACTGTGGACGGACGACACCTAAGAATCCCTAGAATGATTTGATTCCCCTGTAAATACGAACAAACACTGGTGTCCCATGGTTTTTGAAGTGATGCAGGATTTTGTCCATCCACAGTATTCACCGTCCGTGATTTGGGAGCGCATGCTCGAACCCGCCCAGCTTTCCCTTCAACCATGCACATCAATTGGCATCAACAATCATTATATTATTTAAATTAAGATTGCGCTTTTCCTTGGGGGGGGTCGCGTTCTTGTGTTATTGCCATTCGAACTGCAGATTTGGTTCCGTGGTCATGCAGGAGAATCTCAAATACACAGACTCTTCCTCTGGTCGAACAGGACCACGCAGGTAAAATATTTGTATCAGATGGGCTTTCCGCACGCGGAAATCGATTTGTTTGCCGCCGGCTCAGAGATTGAATCAGGTGGTTGGCCCAATGCCGGAATGTCGGCAATTCGAAAAACAGATTCCTGGGCATCGTGAAAAGGACGATCTGGGGGAAGAACACATTTGAAAGGGAAGACTCGAAGACAAACTCTATCTTATCTGGACCTTTGGTTCCTAGGTTCCTGCCAAGGTAATTATACCCACAGAACACGCGGCTCGCCCACAAGCATCTTTATGGGGATGTTTGCCGCTGCCTTTAGGGTTTAGGTTTAGGGTTGTTAGGGTTTAGGTTTAGGGTTTTTAGGGTTTAGGTTTAGGGTTTTTAGGGTTTAGGTTTAGGGTTGTTAGGGTTTAGGTTTAGGGTTTTTACGGTTTTGGTTTAGGGTTTTTAGGGTTTAGGTTTAGGGTTTTTAGGGTTTTTAGGGTTTAAGTTTAGGGTTTTTAGGGTTTAAGTTTAGGGCTTTTAGGGGTTTAGGTTTAGGGTTTTTTAGGGTTTGGGGTTCAGGGTTTAGGGTTTAGGGTTTAAGCCCAAGACAGGGTGCTCCAAATCCAGGTTTCGACCCCCAAGTTTTTGAGGGAGTTCACCACACAGGTCTGCAAGCTTCCCACACGCTGCCACGTGTTTTAAAGATCGGGGCGGGGGCGGTCGCAAGCGGGATGTTTTGGCCGTAATTATAGCTTCCATCCCCTCCAGATGTGGTCTTCCCTTTGCTCAAACCACTTAGAGACATAGTCGTGCAGTTGACAAGATACCATGTTGAGGAGTCTTGCGTACGTGTCAAACTAGGGCGACGGCGATGGTGGTTTTCCTCTTGACCCTTTTCACAGAGACATGTACTCTCTTGGCTCAGGAGAAGCCGCCAAAGGTGCAGGAGCTGGGTCCCATGGAATCCGGGGAAGCTGTCTCTGCTAGATTGGGAACCAGCCGCTGTCAATTCCAATTGGTGGTCCAATGGAATCTGTTTCTTGATGTCTTGTAGAGGTGTTTATGTGTCTTTATAGAAAGGGTAGGGTGTTTTTAGCGCCTGTTTCGGTGTTTCTGTGGACAGGAGTGCTTTTCGGCATGGTTTGGGTGTTTTGGGGGTCTGGCGGGTGTTTTGGGTTCTGTTTTTTTCTTCCCGGCCCTTATAGAAAGGGCGGGCGAATGTGGAAATTAGCTGTCTCACTGTCACGGCCAGTGATTTGAAAAGATGCAGCTCTGTGCACTCTGAAGGGTTGGTGGATGCTCTCACCACAATCTGCCTGGGATCTTGGTATCAGAAATTGGATGGCTTGCAGCCTTCCGGCCCCTTGGCTATGTCTGTTTTGGCTGCCTTTCGAGGGAAACTGAAAGACATTCCTTTTGCTGGCGTCTCTCCCAAAATGTTTGGTTTCCCTTTGGCTTCCCTTTAAATACCAACCAAAAGGGGGGCACCATTTTGAGAACCGCCCCTTTTGAGACAAAGTCTTTTCCGTTTCTGGGCCTCTTGGTGGTTCCCAGCCATCCCCTTGTTTATTTGGTTGGGTTTGTAGTTGGTTTAGTGGGGTTCCATTTAGCTCACAAGTTAAACACTTTTAGCAGGAGATGACAAAACGGAAAGCCCAGTTAGCAGGAGAGTACAAAACGGAAAGCCCAGTTGCCAGTAACTCAGTACAGTAGGTACCGAGAAGTTTTCCTGGTTTCTAAAGTGTGGTTCCCGCCCTTGGATGCCTCGAGGAAATGGAATCATAGGGCCCTGGTGGATTCTAGAAGGGATCTGAAAACCGCACGGTACCATTGTTGGGCTGGGTTTTATCGGGAACGGTACCATTCTTGGGGTCACAGCAGTTTTTGCGGATCTGAGAACAGCCCTGGCCTCAGAGTTAGCTAAATGGCCAGTAACCCTGGCTGAAACTCCGCCAAAGCAATGGTTGTAAGTCCCCTGTAGCCAGGGATACCAGCCAGCAATTCGTCCCAGACCATCCTCCCCCACTTTCCGTGGAGTTCGCCTGTTCTCCCAAAAGGTTCTTTTCGTACTCTTTTAATCTACAGGGGGGGATCCACAAAACCCGCCTCCAAACCGTCCGAGACCTTCCTGGAGTCTCCCTTTGACCCCTTAAAAAAAGGGTTGGTCAGTACCCACAATTCAGGGGTTCCCCCTTTTTCTAGGGGTCACAAAGGAAGACTCCGTTTCCTAAAGTCCCTAAAGTGGGGCACAAAAAGGCACGGTTTGTTTCCTGCCCAGAGGCTCCTGGGGCTTTCAATGGAAGACCCGACCCCTCCATTAGACACCCCGGAGGTGGTTGGGGGTCTCAAAACCAGGTTGTTTGAAGGCCAACTAAATCAATCGGGAGCCTCTGGGTGCTAAGTTTGTTTACTTTCGGGTCTGGACGGCTTTCATCCAAACCGTACCCAGACCTCGACGCTTTCTGGGCGCAGGAGCCGCAGGAGCCGCTGAGCCGCCAGACGGAGATTCGACAGCAGACCTGTGGCTCAGATCCAACGTACCGCAAGCCGGTGGATCTTTTTGGGTTCCTTTGGGTTCCTTTGGTTTTCTTTGTTTTGTTTAATGTGGTGTCCTTTGTTTATGTTTGGGTTTCTTGGTTTTTCTTTGGTGTTCTTTGTTATTCTTTGGTGTCGTTTATTTGGTTTTATTTGTTCTTCTTTGGTTTCCGTTGTGCTTCTTTGGTTTCCTTTGTTTTATATAATTGTTTTTTATTGTGCTTATTTGGTTCCCTTTGTTTTTATTTGGTGTTCTTTGCTTGTAGTTGGCTTCTTTTTTGGGTTCCCATTGTTTCTCTTTGGTTTCCTCTGTTTTGGTTTCGCTGTTCTGTGGTGTCCCTTGTTTATATGTGGTGTCCTTTGGTTTTCTTTGTTCTTCTTTGGTTCCCTTTGGATTTATGTGGTTTTCTTTGTTTTTCTCTGTATGTTCTTTGTTGGTTTCCTTGGGTTTCCTTTGCCCAGTTCCTTTCCTGTTTCCCAGGGTCCTTAGCCTTCTGCCCAACAAGTGGTACGTACCCGTTTTGGATTTTCGGCTGCCTACGGCGTTTCGGCGTTTTTGGATGAATGCCCTACGAATCGCAAGTAACCCAAGCACAGTCAACCCTCGAAACCATGGCAAGTTGCGGTAAATGGGGGGTAAGTTCCTTGTCACGTACTTGCAAGACTTAGCGCATCCATCGATTGTGGTTACTAGTTACTGGGATCCACTGCAATTGCTCTGATGGGGACCCCGTTTCGGGCCATGGATGTCTGATTGCCACTGTTGAAGAGATCCGGCCCATCTAAGTTTCAGGTTACGCGGGGGGATTCCTGACTGCTTGGAGGTTCGGTTGGCCACCGGGGTTAAAACTGGAGCCCAGGTTACTGACAACCTGCTAGCTTGGCCGAACACCCGTGTACCCGTGTTGTGACCCCACTGTAGGTATCACCAACAATTATCCTTTGAAATTCTTCAAGGGTGGCCCGCTAACTTGCTTATACCTACTAAACCAGATACCCTCCCACCGACTAACATGGCAGTGCGCAATTCCCGGGGCTTTGTTGCTGGGAGGTTAGATGGACTCAGTGTGCCCGTTGTTTCTCCCTTCCTGGGGCCCCTAGTAATGCCCTTTTACCCTTTTTTGGGGGAGGGTTCCCTGTAAATACCAACCAACGTTATGTTTTGAACCATGGTTTCAAAGTGGTGCGAAATAGATTTCGTCCATTCTAGGTGCCCCAGTATTGCCCTTTTACCCTTTTCTTGGGGAGGGATCTTAAAATAGACTACAGAAAGAAAAGTTGGTACCCTTATTCTAACCACTCTTTCTGAGAGGTTCGGACACCGGCGGCTCCCCGACGGCGAATGTCCCGCGGGTGGACGGCGAGCGGAAGGAAACGGCGGCCGAAAGGCCTGCGGTGCCGCAGGGATGCCAAGGGCGGGGGGAGGGGCGGTGTGGGCGGGCGTGGCGATGAACAAGAAGGGTATACGTTGCCAAGAACCCGAAAGAAAGCAACACCCTAAATGAACGAGGTGGCAAAATGGAGCCTATGTGTGCATCATATTGGGGGCGGGGGAGGCAAGTTGCGATCGCTTTTTCCGAGCAACCTTGGTGTTGGTAGACCAACTATGAAGCATGGTGTACAGAGTTAGGCCAAGGCTGGAATATACCCGGCAAGCGCGAAGGGCACAAAGACCTATTTTGGAGGTTGACAGAAAGGTCCACTCCCCAAACCTTTCTCTTTGTTCCGGAAAGCTTAAGCAACTAGACCCTAATTTGGAAACCGTCCACTCCCCGAGCGTGTTTTTTTGTTTCGGAGAGCTTTGGCAAATCTCGTTTGGAGCTTGGAAGCTTCGTAATGGAATCCTTCCCAAGTCACAAAGCGGCCGTGAGCAAAAGGACGTAGCAACCAGTTTGAAAGGCCACCATGTATTGCTTGAACTAAGGGTCGGGGAAATCGGACGCCGAAAGGTCCTTGCCGCTGGCGAGAGCCCAGGCCCCGGGGTTGGGGAAACTTACGTCAGGTGAGTGGCGAGCAGAATTTCAGGGTGAGATAACCCACCTACCACTATAAGTCTCCCAAGTGAGTTATACATATATATATATATATGATTATATATGTATACATATATAGATATATAGTTATAACCAGGCTTAACTAGCTAGCCAAGTTTTTTTTGATTGGGATTTAATGAAATTGAACTCTACATAAAGGGGCAGGGCACTTAGTAAGTGGTTGGTAACCATGGTGAGATATCCCACTTACGACTATAAGTCCAGGTGAGTCGTAGCCAGGCTTACCTAGCTAGCCAAGTGGCTGCTTGTTTCAGTCACCGTGGCTGGTTTTCGGATGGGAAAGTGCATGGAACAATTCGATTCGCAACTGGCGATCCAGGTACGGGGCTCCTAAGAGATACATTTTGCAACCATGTGAAACATGGCCTTTTCCACCACCCAGAGGCTCCCGATTAATTTAGGGCCTTCAAACAACCTGGTTTTGAGATCCCCAACCACCTCCGGGGTGTCTACTGGAGGGGTCGGGTCTTCCATTGAAAGCCCCAGGAGCCTCTGGGCAGAATAAAGGGAAACCACCATTGACAAGTTGCAATGTTCAGGTGTATAATGCATCCGGATCCCTGAGGTACTAACCACTTGCCTGTGCCCCATCGCCCCTTGACGTAAGCGTCAGGGGCTCTTGCCATTGGCGCTTGGAAGTCTGGACCCGCTTGCAGATGCGGGTTTGGCATAGGGAAGCAAGGGAACTCTGAACCAAAGGACGAAGGGGTGGCTTCCAAGTGTATGGCTTGACTTGTTGCTTTTTCCCAATTTTCACATGAGCCACAATCAAAACTTAGCCGGGGGCAATCCCAACGATTGCTTTGGTTGATTGCAACCAGGGTTGCCAGCCATTTAGCTAACTCCCAGACCGTCAAACTCCCGTACCCAACCGGGTCCAAGCTGTTTCCTTGGCTGTTCAGGCGGATCCGGCAGAAGTGGTTCAGCAGCGCTTGCAGGCGCGACAGGGGCAGAGTCTTTGCAAGAAATGTGTTTACAACCAGCCCCGGGGTTTCTTCAACATGACACCAGAGGTTGTCAAAAAAAGAGGTGCTGTTTAAACAGCTTGTTTCAGGGGCTTTGGTTGAACCCAAACTGGGGTTGGCAAAACAAGTAGTTGTAACAACAAGTTTAAGATCAGGGCAGCTTGGTGAGAAGCTTTTCACAGGCCCCAGGAGCCTCACTCTTGTCTGTCGGGAGTTTTTTGTTGTGCACTGTTTGTGTTTTTGTTGTTTCTCTCTTTCTTTCTTTTTCTGGAAGATGAACGTGAAAAGATATCCCCTCCTTTCATGACATGCTGTGGATGGACAAAACGCGGCGCTACTTTGAAACCATGGTTGAAACCATAACGTTTGTTGGCATTTGCGTTTTGGAATCGAATGAGAAACCAGGGGGTCTGAACGGTGGTGCGCCATGGATTTCGTCCATCCACGGCATTATACCAAGGGAAAGGATTCAAAGCAACATAAGAACAACTACCATTTAAATCCCATTGTTTCAAAAACCCACGCCCCATGAAGAACCCTTCTGTGTACTAAGGGAAAGGATTAGGATCCAAATTCACTTTGACCTCAGTTCGCACCGGTACACAGTTCAGTGGCGCCCTGTTCCCTTTTAGGGTTCCGCTGAATGGTCAAGCAGTGTTTGTCAGGTGAGTTGCAATTGGACAGACGGAGGGGTTCTTTAGAAGATCTTGGATACACCTAAAACTCACCTGTACATGTAGAGGCCTGTTGAAACAGTTGTTAAAGGATTCGTTTTTGTTTGTTTGGCCTTGACGTTTGTGTCTATTTTTTCCCATGGCCAAACTATGTGTCCTAAGTTGAGAGGCTCCTCTTTTGTGAGCCCTGTTTTTTGTGTTTGAAGAAACTACAAAAGCACCAGCATCGTTTTTTTCCCTGAACAAATGTTATAAGACTCACCCAATGGCAGCTTCCCTCTAGGTGGCTTGGAGCCTGGTTTGGATTTGGATTTGAACCTGGATTGAACCACTTCCCAACCATCCCGCGAAACTTAGCTCGCTCCAAACCGCCGAAGCGGGGTTACCTTAAAGGGGCATCGTAAGTGGTTCGTAGGTCTGGCGACTTTAAACCAGTGGCCATGGTGAAAGAAGTGGCCGTTCAGCGGGACAATTTTCACCAGGCTAATGCCTTGGCTGCTATTGTGTTGGATTTTTAGACTTTAACTTATTGGGACATATTTTGGAGTGTTGTTTTTTCCACGAAACCCCGAAAAAGTGAGACACACTTTTTGTAGGGGGGGTCGTTGCAGCCACCGAGAAATGCCGCTGGCCGCTTCAGCGGTCCGGCCGAGGAGATCTTGCAGCGGGGGCAGCAAGAGCGCTTGGATCTGCGGAGCCTCCAGGAGCCTGGAGCTCGGATCGATGGAGATCAGGGTGGAATCAAGGGGTTTAGTCCCACGTCTGTGATACAAGGGATCACTCGGGGTTTCTCCAACCACTTCTGTGATACAAGTTAGAATCTCCCCCTGTATATGGGGTGTTAGTCTTTGGGAAGCCCTTTTTGGTTGTATCGCAGAAGTGGATTCCATTCCCCACAAGCCTGATGGAGATCGATTTGGCGGAGTTGGTGAGCTTGTGCAGCTGTCTGTGTCCCTGTCATAGCTGTGGATGGACGAAATCTATGCAACGCACCACCCAAGAAACGCTATGATTCGATTCCCCAACGTAAATACCAACGAACGTTATGGTTTCAGCCGTGGTTTCAAAGTCGTGCGAAGTGGATTTCGTCCATCTAGATGATTGAACCACCGGGTAAACCAGGAAGCACCCTCTATTTTTCAGCCACACCAACCAACAAGGCCTGTTTCTGTTGGTTTGCCTCCTAGGCTGTTTGTCTGATTTGTGCTTGCGCCATGGCGTGCCAGATGGGACTAAAGGGTCCATGAAGAGACAGGTAAACAGTAATACAGTGGATGAACCTGGATCTTGGTCAACTCTTTTTCTATTTCTCATGCCTTCCAAAGATTAGAGAAGAGCGAAGGTATGAGGAAAGAGAAAGATTATGTCCCTTACCGTCGAATTCTCTAGGCTATGCCGTGTAAAAGAGAATTAGCATGAGGACATGATCACTCTCTCTCTCTCTCTCTCTCTCTCTCTCTCTCTCTCTCTCTCTCTTTGTCCCATCACTATGTGCCGCTGGGCATTTCCACACCCAACACAAAGATCCCAGAGAAAGAATGCAGCGTCAAACAAAGGGATGAGTTTCGGCGGGGTCTTGATCCAGGTCATGCATCTTTTTGTAACAAAGTCCCACAGTAGTGCCCTTTTACACTTTTTTGGGGGAGGGTTCCCCTACTAAAATAGACTACAGAAAAAAAAGGGTACCCTTATGCTAACCTCTCTACTGGAGGACCTAGGTAAGCTATGCCGTTCCGCTTTTCGTCGGGATGGTCCAGGCCACTCTTCAGCGACTCTTGATCGAGCGAGTGAAGCTAGCATGAAGGGCGCCATGAACAGGTAGTTGACCTATAAGATCAAGAGAGACTCCATCCGGTTACTAGTTACAGCGAGCTACGGGGGAGTCCATGGCTTGCTTTGGAAACGCTAAAGATTCTATGTTTCCTACAAATAATAAGCTCTTGTACCGCGTTCTACCCCTACGGCATACGTATGATGTTCCTAAACAAGACTTTAAAGAAGTGATATAGATGACATGGCAAAGATCATTGATTTCTTGGCAAAGATGTTCAACTTTAAAATCCCAGAACATATTATGGACATGACGACTAATGCAGGAATTATGAAAACAGGTGGGTGCCACAAAAACCAACATGAACAATCCTAGAATATAGGGTAGCCTCCAAATATTGGATCCAACAAAGTGTATTAGAATGAATACCAACCAACATTAAAATAAGTGTACCAGATGCGACAGGTGCGGTTAATAAAAGCATGAACGCTTTAATCAATCAAAATGAAATACATACTAGGGTAATCTGTAATGTTTAAGACAACACTATCTTAGATGTTGATTTGTTGTCCAGAAGTGAAGATATACAACACATCCATATATACCACAGATCAATGATCCCAACACAAGACGTCATGTACGTGAAGGCGATAAAGTCATGTATAGTATTAGCCTGTTTTGGGATCCTCTCTTTTTCACAAAATCTATCCCTTGCCTAGCCTTGCCCCCCCCCCCACGTCCGAAAAATAACAACAATGAACAGTTGAACATAGATAATAAACAACAAATACAAGCTCGCCAAAGTACACAGTAAACAACAGCACCCAAAGGGGGTCAAGGTCTACACGTTCGTGGCCGCGGGGGCCGCGCGCGTCCATTTCTTTTTGAGACCCAGAGGTGCCCAGAAAAGCAAAGCCATGGAGTCTCCTTCTGACCCGAATCAAAAATGGTTGGTCATTGCCCTAAATACTGTAATGGTTGGTCATGGACCTATTTTTATTTAAAGGGTCAGAAGGAGACTCCAGGCATGGAAAGCCATGGAGCTTCACAGACCTGAAAGCGAGTCGTTTTCGGGGCGGTTCGTGCCGAGCCGATCGGCTTCCAGCGATTCGGGACTCGGTCCATGGGTCCAGTCCCATCTTCAAGCCCACACTTTGGAGGCTGCAACCGATTCCCTTAACTTTGGTGCGAGTTTTGCCAAGGGCTGTTAGGACTTGAGAACTTTTTGCCAACGAATTTGGGTTTTCCCGGACCTAAACCACTAAAAGTTAAACACTTTTAGCAGGGCTTCGCAGAAAGCAACCGAGTTAAGAAAGGCCAAGGTTGACCCAATTTGGAAGATGACGATTGCTGCGTGAGCAGTGGTGGTGGTATTTTCGCTTTCATTGCTTCCATGGCGGTTTGAATCCCGGGGTTGGCGCTTTGTCCCAATATTCATAGGGCTTCATTCATCCCAACAGGCGCCCTGTGTTTCTGTCCATCAGTGGACCCAAAGCTCGATGTAAATGAGTTTATGGCTATTTGGTCACGGATCTTTGGTCTTTAGTAAACTTTGCGGTTGACACTTTGTTCGGATTTTCCGTATTGGAGCCACAACAAGCTGAACACTAAACTTTGTGCGGGGGGGTCGTTACAGCAGCCACATTGAGGTTTGGTCAACATTTCCAGCTGGTGGTCCGTTGGGAGGAGCCCTTTTTCGCCACACCAAAAAGGTTACTTCAATCACAAACCCATTTGCCCTCACCAACCGGGGTTAGATCAAAGTTAAAGTTGTCTTGGGTCCCTTGCAGGTTCCATGTTTGTTTCGATCCGGCAGTGAATGAGGGAGAGACCTCGAACTGAACCATCCCTTGTGCTTCCCTTTAAGGGGATCCCCGTTTGGTTCATTCCCAATAACCTGTGTTGACTTCCTGAGAACCAGCAAGTCTATCAACCCAGATTTGAGAAACCAGAATCCTGTGATATGGGGCCAACTCGCGTCTTTTTTTTGGTGGGGACCCCCCAAAATGGCAAAGGTTTCCGTTTGGCTTCCCTTTAAACCATGCCAACTCAAAAACATACTGACGAGCCGCCTTTCCCCTTCGGTTTCCCTTGAAAAACACCACTGGAAAGGGGTTCGCCAACTAAAAGACAGCACACGTATTTGGTGGCTTTTTCTCTCCGGTGAGGTCAAGGCTAGGCTGGTGAAACGGGGAACCCGAGGCTGCAGCAACTGCTGCGCACCATGGCTGAGAGCCTTGGCCTTCAAAGCAGATTGTGTCCATGAGTTCCACCCCTTATTCCCTGAGTCCATGGACTTTAAACCTTTTGGAGAGACCATTTTAGTGGTAAAGAAGTTTAGACTTTTTTTGAGCCATCCTCTCGGGAAGTGAGTAGCCCACGAGTTCCGGATCTCGGACTTTGCTTGCTGGTGCGATGGATTGAACCCGAGAAAAACAACGGTTTGGTTGCGATTTTTTTGGGGGCCCATCCACTCCTGAGTTCCGGAACTCGGACTCTAGTCACTTTCTAGTCGGTTTGGTTGCCGTTTTAGTGGGAAATCCAAAATACACATGGGGGGGGCAACCACGAAGTGAGGCTAGGGGGCGGGTTCCCATTGGGAAGACTTGATGAGTATCGCCTAAATCATTGGAATGGGGTTGTGGGGTACTTTGAAACCATCAGATATTTTGTCATAGAGGTAGACTAGCACCTGGACCCTCAAACTACCCATAAAGCAATCGACTTAATCAATTTTTTAGTTGTTTTTTTTAGGATCCAGGTAGTTTGTTTCCTCTACAACTCCCTTGAATTGCGCCCCCCCCCCATCCCTCAACGTATCCCTGCCAAAAACAGATGAGAATCAGCCCCACCAGAGGTCCATTTTCCATAGCCATGTATTTGTTTTTGCTGCCCCCTAAGGTTTACTCAGAGTCACCAAGTCTTTTGATTTGTTTGGCGTGCCTTGGGGCCAAATCAAAAAACGAGTGGCCCTTTTTGCGTCTCCAAAGCTTCCAGGGGAAAAAGCGGGGCGTTCAAACCAACGTTGGTTTCCAGCCATCCGGTTCCTTAGATGTTGTTCGGGTTTAGTGGTTTCTACCACTAAACCACTAAAAGTTGAAAGCTCTTAAAGCAGGGCATCAGGTTGGACAGCCCAGACGGACACCTGGAGTCTCCCATGACCCTGAAAAAAATGGTGTTATTACCCTAAGTAGTGGGGTCGTGGTCCTGTTTTTGATTCGGGTCATGGAGACTCCAGGCAGGCGGTTGTCCCCCTTGCGCTGGCATCGCATTTCTCTCTCTCTCTCTCTCTCTCTCTCTCACCACCGCGCAAAAGCGGTGAGGCCCGCGCAGAGCCCGTCGCGGTGGTCCCAGCAGAGCCCGCGCTCGCCCACGTCCCCGCCAAAGCAGGCGAGCGGCGAGCCGATGATGTGCGAAGGCTGACGGATGATTCTTTACGGAGACCCCAAGCAAGGATTCACTCCCATATGGCTGTGGCTCAAAAAACCGGTACCAAAATGGGTTGCTCTGGTAAGTGGAAACATGGACCAAAACCTGCGGTCTGCCCCTCCTGTTTAATTTTGAGCCACACCCATTTCGGAAACCACCGCTTGGATTGGTTTTGCAAGGGTTCATTCCAATTCTCATTAGTCCCTTGCCATAGAGAAGAGGAGAGGTTCGCCCTACATGCAGTAGGGTTGGGTTGACTTTGGGTGTACGGATTTGGGGTCGTCGCTCATGGCATCCCTTGAACGGTGCCTTTAGGCGCCTCTGAGAGTCCTTTGGCCAGTTCCATGGGCCCGGTGCGCGACGCTGCCACGGGCCTTTCAGATCCCATGACACGCGCAGCGAGGGTTTGTTTGACGTAACACATGTTGTTTGGTCGGTTTAAAGGGAAAGCAAAAGGAAAACCGCCATTTGGGGGGGGGGGGGGAAGCAGAAGGAAAACCACCATTTTTTTTGGGGGGGGGGGAGGGAAAGCATAAGGAAAACCACATTTTGTTTTTTTTTTGGGGGGGAAGGGAAAGCAGAAGGAAAACCACTTTTTTCTTCTTTTTTTTTGGGGGGGGGTGGGGGGTTGGGACCAAAACAAAGGGGTGTGACAAAAGGTAGCCCCCCCGAATTGCCGGAAGCTTTCAGAAGGCCTTGGTGAATGGAATCAAGTCTTCCAAGAACCTCCTGGGAGCTTCCATGGCATCGCCTGGGGGAGGGTAATGTTGGGTGGCATCCTTTCTCTCGGACGGGCGAGAGATCTTATTGTGGAAGAGCCAGTTGAACAGTATCCATGAAAAGTGCCGACATGATTAGTATGCCAACACCTCCTAACGTTACTACACAAAATATTGCTGCGGCCGGACTTGCTTTCGTTCTTCTTTGCTGCCTCATCGCTTGGGTAGTCTTGCTTGACCGCCCTGCACGGAAGCATCTATTCAATCTATTCCCCCCCCTCAAAAAGACAACTTTAGAGCCTCCGGCTCAGTCCGCCGACATTGTCCTCTCCCTTTTCTCCTTCTTCCTCTCTTCCTTGTCTCCCTTGTGTGCTCTCCCTCCCTCTGCTCCCATCCTCCCCATCCCCCCAAGCCTCTCTCTTCCCAATCTCCCTCTCTCGTATGTATGCATGCATGTACATAAGTATGTATGTATGCATGTATGTATGTATGTATGTATGTATGTAATGTATGTATGTATGTATGTATGTATGTATGTATGTATGTATGTATGTATGTATGTATGTATGTATGTATGTAATGTATGTATGTATGTATGTATGTATGTATGTAAGGTATGTATGTATGTATGTATGTATGTATGTATGTATGTATGTATGTATGTAATGTTATGTATGTATGTATGTATGTATGTATGTATGTATGTATGTATGTATGTATGTATGTATGTATGTATGTATGTATGTATGTATGTATGTATGTATGTAATGTAATGTATGTATGTATGTAATGTATGTAATGTATGTATATGTAATGTAATGTAATGTATGTATGTATGTATGTATGTATGTATGTATGTATGTATGTATGTATGTATGTATGT